TGATGGATTCGTGAGGGACCCGAGGTGGGCACTTGTTTCAAGGTATGAAGAGGAGAAAGCGGGTTGCCAAGCGAACTCGCGCCGAGGTGCCTCAGGATGCGGAGCCTGAGGTGCCGGGCAACCAGCCAGAAGATCCGCCCAGGGAACCCGAGATGGTCCCTCCGATCCAGGAGCCAACGGGGGGCCCTTATGCTGAGACTACATACAGAGGGGCTCCTACATACTCAGGTGCTCCTGCTTACTCCGAGTCTGCTCATACGCGAGCTTATCCCTCGGGCTCGGGGGCCCCGGGGGATTTCAGGAGCGTGTTGACGTCGTCCCATGCTCTTCAAAAGAGTAAAGAGGCCATCTTCCTCGAGGAGGTCGCGGCATGGACTGATCTCCCTTTGCATCAAGTGGCTTGCCGTGCGGTTACCCACGCTATGGTGGTAAGCGTTCTCCTTTTTTAGGTCTTTGGCTTTTGTTTTGTTGGTTCTTTTGATCATTCGGTCTCTTTTGGCAAGTAAATTCTTTCATTCACGCCTTAGCAGCTCAGGTGAAGAGGAGCTCGAGGCAGGCGCGAACTGTCGAAGAGGCTCGTCGTGCGGCCGAGGAAGCCGCTCGTGCTGCTGAAGAGACTGCTCGTGCTGCCGAAGAGACTGCTCATTTTCCCGGATCAGGCAGGCGAGGTCTCAGAGACATGTTGAGGCCATGGGAGTGGTGGTGAAGCACATGGCGGACTTGAGGCTGGATCTGCAGCATTAGGTTGAGTATCTTCAGGAGGACATCGGGGAGAGGACGCAGATCTTTTCCCAAGGTATCAAAGATGCCAAGAAGAAGGCCGCCGAAGAGTACATCGTTTTGTCGGGTTTTGATGATCTAACGGTGGATTCATATAGGCGGGGTTTTAAACTAAGCCGGTGGATGATCCGGAATACGTACCCTGAGCTCGATGTTAGCGCCATATCCACTTCACGCATAACTCAGGAGATGGCTAATGCTGCTGATGCCGAGCTAGATTTCGAGGGCGAGGTGGGGCCTTCGGGTTTTGTCGAAGTGCCTTCTGACGATGATGAAATAGCTCCTGGCTTGTAAACACTTTTTTTTTTTTGTACTGCTCTACCTTTTGGGATGGAAGGATTTGTTTAAGTACTGAGCATATTTGCCGAACTGAGCATTCTCTCCCAAACTGAGCATATTTGCCGAACTGACCATTCGTTCGATTTGTTTTCTGCCTGAGTTAACCGCACTTGCGCGGACTGTTTTCTTTGCTTGCTTGTGCCGAGATTCCTTCGTTAGCTCGGCATCCTAGCCCGTAGGCTTTGGTGGTGATTTTACCCATTTCGCTTGG